CTTAAAAAAAAAAGAAAAGGTATAGTATGTGTAGCTTATTGATTCTTCCTTCAGACAAGAGGCTAATTGCAGGATCGTTTGATTGTTCAGCTAATGCTCTGACCAGCAGCAATTACCATTTGCTCATGCCAAGGTAGCTCTATAAAGGGGGTGAAAATATTTGGGTGGGGTTTTGTTTTGTTTCAGCTGGGGACATTTGAATACCAGGGCACCTGAGAGGCAGTCTTTGGGAACGCTTGGTTCTGGATAGGTAATTGGTCGTATTGAACTGGTTTTGCATTTTTCAAATACCTGTAATTAAGCTAGACTTGAGAGGCAGAATTAATTGATTCCTCTTATGAATCATACTCTCTATCCCCTCTAGTCGCAGACCAAGGTACCATAATATCTGGATCTGTGCAGACAAAACAAAAGGAAGTCCCAGTCCCTGAAATCTTATTATATCTTTTATTTTCCTAACCGGTAGATAATATACATCAGCAGTCTGCCCCCTTCCTAGTAAAGACAACACAAAGACATCAAATAAAGGTATTTGGAGAATGAGTTTGAGGATGCATTCCCTCCCCCCCAACAGAATCTACGTCTTGGGACAGAAATACTAATTCATTTTTTTGTCAATAATACAATTTTTTTTTTCAGTGGATGGTAAATGTAGCCTTTCACAAATCCAAATCTTTCTTGGATATCAGAGTGAAGGATGTTGTAGCAGATAACTGGTCAGTGCTGAGCCATGTGTTGTTATAAACTGCTAAAAGTCACAACTGATAAAATTGTGACTTTGATTATTGATTCTGACTTTTGGTTGATCATTATGAACCACTAAAAGTCACAATTGATAAAAGGCCGGTGTGCAGAACGTGACCAGGCTGAGAATTTTATCATAGAAACGTAGGGCCTGCCAGCCTAGAGTAGGTGATCTGATCTGTTTGCTGTACCAGCCCCTTATCAATAAGGACAGACAAGAGTTAGGCTTGCCAGCATGCTTGCCCCTTTTTTGCATCTCCAGGTAGGTCTTTGGGACTGCTTTAGAGTCATCTCCTGGACTTCATAAGCAGTAAGTCAGGTCTAGAGATGTTCTTGCCAGTCCTGGGAGGACACAAGCCCAGCCTGGAAGGTGCCGCAGTCTTGACGCAAGTTTCACTCAGACCGTGCAGTAGTTTCATTGCACTGCTCTTTGCAAGAATCGTGGACACCTCTGTAATCTTTGTTTCTGTGACCTTATTTGCAAGTTCAGTAACTTAATTCTTTTCACTATAATGCCTGAGGATGTTTCTTTGTTCCTGATTGGTTTTCCTGCCCTTCTCCAACCCATTTCAAATTCAGAAAAATGGAGATAGATTAGCAAGCACTGTCCTGCAAAGCTAGGAGGTTTGTTTCATCTCTTCCTTTCCCACCCTGAGAAAAACTTCTTCACAGTAGAATACAAATTGCCACGACAGCAAAGTTTCAGATTTCAAGTGGCCAGAGCACCCAGCAATAGGAAATTCAGATTGAGTCCGAGAGCTGCATCCTGACAGGAGGTCACTGAGGCTACGCCGCTGTGGCCAAGACGGTTGCCTTCAAAGGAAGTCAATCACCACCACTGCTCATGGTAGTAAGTGGCACCTGTCTTATACAAACCTGCCTTCTGGCCAACGAAACAAGTTTTGGTGTGGCAGAGGGTAGAGTGGCGCAATATGAAGACGTGAAGAGCGACCTACCTTCATTGTATGCTTGGGCAGGTCCCTCTTCAGAGGCATCTGCCATTGCTGCGTAATTGGCTCAGCCAATTTGCAATTGACTATTTCTGTGTAGCATGTAAATATTTATTTGCATAAATATTTATTTACATAAATATTACTGTGTATCGCCTATCTATGAGGTGATGAATTAAAAGTGGCCCATAGGGATGTTTACAACTCATTCATTTGATGCAATTTTTTTTTTT